AAAAAAAAAAAAAAAAAAAAAAAATCCTAAGAGAAGGCCAGGCAAGGTGGCTCATATCTGCAATCCCAGAACTTTGGGAGGCTAAGTAGGAAGTTTAAGACCAGCCTGGGCAACATAGCAAGATCCCATCTCCACAAAAAATAAACAAATTGGCCAGGCATGGTGATGTGCATTGGTAGTATTAGCTGCCCAGGAGGCTGAATCAGGAGGATCACTTGAGCCCAGGAGATGGAGGTTGCAGTGAGCTATAGTGACCCCACCTCACTCTAGCCCAGGCAAGACAGTGAGACCCTGTCTCCAAAGCAAACCAGAAGAACACCTACAAGACTTATTGGTACAAAATGATAAAGAGCTTACCTCCCCTTACAATACATAAAGCACTCATTTGATTTGAAGGAAAGTATTTAAAACACCTCAAATACACCAACCATGATAGAGTCAGTGAATGTGCAGAAAACTCTTCAATCCTGTAGGTCACCAGAGATACCCAAATTCCTGAGGCTCCAGTCCCCAGGCAGGACGTGGTCTATCCTGCTTGCTGCAGTGCAGGGGCGCACCTATCCCAGGGTTCCTGACACCAGCAGGTCCTGTGATCAGGAAGGTGGCAAGACCCAGTCCAGAGGCAAAAACCAAAAGCTGCAATCTGCTCTGGGGACGTCACCCTGAGAAACAGTCAGGGCACAGAGGTAAGGCGCAAGCCCACCTGCCCTCCACTCGGACCTCAGGAATATGAGTGAGCAATCTGAAAACCAGCACAGCATTCGTGAGGCCAACAGCCCTCTCACCTCTCCTGACGGAAGTGACACTCCGGGCTTCCAGCTCCAGGCTCTGCACCAAGGCACTGGGGTCTATCCTGGTCCTGGCAAAGATGTCAGTGCTGATGAAAGCGCAGTCCTAACATCCCCAAGAAAAAGGAAAGAAAGAAGACAACATGAGATTTGCTCCATGGTTTCAGAGGGAAGTACATGGCAGGGAAGGGGAGCATGAGGTCCCAGATCCCCTGGCTTCTCTGCCCAAGAAGACCTACAGGAACCAACCCTCGCCTCCCAGAGCAGAAGCCCGGGGTCCCAGGGCTCCATGGCAGACCTGCAGCACCCCTGACCTGTCTCCTTCATGCTTCAAACCCCAGCCAGGCATTACTCCTAGCTCTTTAGGAGCCAGGATCAGCACTGACTACAAATGACAATCTTGAGAACCAAATTTCCTTGCCAACTCTTTATCTCATACTTTCTACAACACTGTGTCATGTTGTAAACGACGCTTCACCTCAGCAGCCTCCTTTCCAGGTCTGTCCAGAGCCACGTTCACCCCTAACCAAGATGCTAATCCTCCAAGTCACCACTGACCACAGCACAATGAGCCAGAACCCAGCCCCTCCTTGCCAAGCCCACCCAACCCACTCAAGTCAATGCACCAACCCCCCCAGGGACCACAGAGGCTTCTGAAGGGCAGCAAAATACAATCACCACAATAGACCACTTTGGCAAAAGGATTATTTTGAGCTAAATGCACTTTTAAAAACCAGCAGGTACAACAAGGTAGCACTTGGCTGCCCTTTTTCCCTGGAAGTAGGAGCTAAAATACCCACATGGAAGACATCCTCCCTGTGCCAGAGGAAAGTAACATTCTTATTATTGAAGACTAAACATCAAAGCTGAGAGAATTTATATACAGACCCAGTTAACATAATTTCCCACCTTCCTTTAGCCCCCTCCCACACAGATTAGTTAAGTCCCACAACCCCCCTCCCTTCAATCTCACACAAAGAGCACCTCACTTTGCCACTTAAATTTGGGTTATTTGCTCATGAGGACCCTGGGCCATGTAAAACTTGGCTAATAAATGTGTCTACTTCTCCCCCATCAACCTGACTTATGTCAGTTTAAATCTCAGGGCTGGGCTCAATGCCTGTAGCTCAAGCAGCTGAGGTGCGAGCCACATACACCAGAGCTGGCAGGTTCAAATCCAGCCCAGGCCTGCCAAACAACAATGACAACTACAACCAAAAAATAGCCAGGCATTATGGCGGGCACCTGTAGTCCCCAGCTACTTGGGAGGCTGAGGCAGGAGAATTGCTTGAGCCCAGGAGTTGGAGGTTGCTGTGAGCTGTGATGCCACAGTACTCTCCCCAGGGCGACAGCTTGAGGCTCTGTCTCAAAAAAATAAAAAAAACACACAAAAAATAAATCTCAGGAGTGACTAAAAAGCTCTGAGGATGGAGGTGAAGTTTCACTTCCCCACATCACATAGGGAGATGGTACACTAAGAAGGTGCTGAGTGGGCCCCAGGGGCCGAACCACAGCACCCAAGGGAAGCTCTAGCTCTGGCAGGGGGAGAGGGGTTTTACAGGATGGGGACAGAGAGTCAGTGAGCAAGACAGTATCAGAGACTCACAGGGAGTGGTGCTGGAACCCAAGGGCGGGCTAAAAGGTGTCAGCAGGGGGCGGTGCAGGGTGCCCAGCCTTCTAGGTCTACAACCTGGGCATGGCGGCTCACACCTACAATCCTAGTGATACCGGACAAAGTGGCACCCCAGCCAGCTCAGCTGAGCGGGGTTGGGAGACCTGCCACCTCCGTCTTGACTGCAGCAACCAGCAAAGGAACCAGCAGGCTGGAGCAAGCAGAGGGAGCTTTCCTCTCCCACCGGAGGCTCCAGTAGCAAAAAAGACCAGAGGGGAGCAGGGGAATACACTGGCAATTCCTCCAGGGCATCCCTAATTGGTCCATTTTCAATCCTGCTCCTGCTTGGTCTATTTTTAGGAGAAAAGAGACCAATCAGCTTAGCTTTCAGTTCATTGGACAACTGCCCCCATATAATCCCCTGAGTAGAGCACCTAGAGGCAGATCATTACAGACCTTCCAGGGAGAGAGAGTAAGAGAGCAAAGACCTCAGCAGATGGCCTCAGACCATGGAGGGGGAGAGAGCAGAAGAGGAAGAACTTTACACTTGAATCCTACTCTGCAAGGAAGTTTGGCTCTTTGTAAGAGCTGTAACACTTGCATCTTGCTCTGCAAGGAGGTTTGGCCCTTTGTAAGAGCTGTAACACTTGTATAAAACCTATCTTATCCTGCTCTGCAAGGTTTAGCTCTTTGTAAGAGCTGTGTAATACCTGTTAGGTTAACTTCCATCCTGTGGTCCGTCGATTCATTCACCGAATCCTGGAGACCAAGAGCCTGGAAATCCAATATCAGAAGTCCAGTATCATTAGCACCTTGGGGAGGCCAAGGTGGGAGGACTGCTTGAGGCCAGCTGAACAAGAGTGAGACCCTGTCTCTACCAAAAATAGGAAAATTAGCTAGGCTTGGTAGCAGGTGCCTGTATCCCAACTATTTGGGAGGCAGAGGAAGGAGATTGGCTTGAGCCCAAGAGTTTGAGCTTGCTGTGAGCTATGATGCCACAGCACTCTACCAGAGGTGACCAAGTGAGACTGTTTCCAAAAAAAAAAAAAAAATTTACTACGAAGCTACAGTAATTAAGACTGTGTGGTAATGGCATAAAGATCAATGGATCAGAATTGAGAGTCCAGAATAAACCTATATATTTATGGCCAATTGATTTTTTACAAGGTGCCAAGATTACCTCAGATTCAAAGGGGAAAAAGTAGTCTTTTCAAGAAATAGTGCTCTGACAATTGGATATCATATGCAAAATAATGAAGATGGACCCCCTACTTTACATCATATATAAAAATTAACTCAAAATGTATCAAAGACCATTTAACCACCTAATATGTAACATGCAACAGCTGAAACTATAAAATTATTAGAATACAAGTGTGAATGTTCATTGGCTTGAATTAAGCCATAGTTTCTTAGATTGTACAAGCAACAAGAGAAAACAAAATGGACTCCATAAAAATTGAAAAAATTTGTGCTTCTAAGAATAATATGAACAGAGTGAAAGACAGCCCATAAAAATGGAAAAAAATATATTTGCAAACCATATACAGTGGGTACCAAAAAGTATACCCATTTTAAGGGAAATAAATGTATTCAAATTGTCATATTCAAGTCCTGTTTTTCTTCTGCAATTACAAGAAAAACAAAACATAATTTACAAGATGACAAACATTATCAGTATATACTGAGTATTACAATTTTAAGGTACGTTTTCCTTTAAAATGTGTGTACATTTTTTGGCATCCTCTGTATATCCGGTAAGATATCAGTGCCCAGAATACCAAAAGAACTTTTATAGCTTAACAACAAAACACAAATGTCACCTTTTTAAATGGCCAAAGAACTTGAAAAGACATTTCTCCAAGAAAATACACAAATAGCCAAAAATCTCATAAAAAGATGCTCAACATGGCTGGGTAGTGGCTCATGCCTGTAATTCCAACACTCTGGGAGGCCAAGGCGGGTAGATTGCCTGAGTTCAGGAGTTTGAGACGAACTTAAGCAAAAGTGAGACCCCATCTCTACTAAAAATGAAAAACAGCGGCAAGAGAATCGCTTGAGCTCAAGAGTTTGAAGTTGCTGTAAGCTATGACGCCAAGGCACTCTCCCAATGGTGTGACAAAGTCAGACTGTGTCTCAAAACAAAACCAAAAAAGCTAACAGAAATGCCAGTTCATTAATCTTCACAGCAGTACTAAACATCCACCAACTCATGAAGGGATAAACAAAGTGTAATGTGGCATGGTATACCCATACAATAAAACATCATTCGGCCACAATAAGAATGGAGAAAAAACAAAAACAAATAAAAAAAGAAATTAATGCTACAAAAAGAATAGCTACAAGGATGAACCTTGAGAGTGTGCTAAGTAAAAGAAGACAAACCTAGAAGCACAAATTATTCCATTCACATGAAATGTGTAAACAGGCAAATCAATAGATTAGCAGTTGCTAGAATTGCTGATAAAGGCTTTTTCTGGAGGTGATGAAAACATCCTGAAATTTGTAGTGACAGTTGCACAACTTTGCAGATACAGTAAAAAACACTGACTTGTACACTATAAACAGGTGAATTTTTGACACGTGAACATTTTTTTTTTGAGCCTGGGCTCTGCAGCTGTTTTCTGAATTCAAGTACCAGCTCTGCCACTCAGCAAGTGAATGTCTTTGGTGATTTACTTAACTCTCAGATTTCTCGCCTACAAAATGAGGGTCAGGGCTGCTAAGATGTACAGTGCCCCCGGCACATGGTAAATGCTTAATAAACATGGCTGTTCTGGCTCCGTGCCTGTGGCTCAAGTGGCTAAGGCGCCAGCCACACACACCTAAGGTGGCAGGTTCAAATCCAGCCCGAACCCACCAAACAACAACGATGGCTGCAACCAAAAAATAGCCTGGCGTTGTGGGGCGCCTATGGTCCCAGCTACTTGGGAGGCAGAGGCAGGAGACTCGCTTGAGCCCAGGAGTTGGAGGTTGCTGTGAGCTGTTATGCCACAGCACTCTACCCAGGGGGACAGCTTGAGGCTCTGTCTCAAAAAAAAAAAAAAAAACTTGGCTGTTCTATTAAAATTTCTTTTTTTTTTGTAGAGACAGAGTCTCACTTTTTCGCCCTCGGTAGAGTGCAGCGGAGTCGCTGCTGGCCCCTGCACCTTATGATGAAAGGTATTTTTTGTTGCAGTTTGGCCAGGGCTGGGTTTGAACCCGCCACCCTCGGTATATGGGGCCGGCGCCTTACTCACTGAGCCACAGGCGCCTCCCTCTATTAAAATTTCTGATCCAAAGCCAGGACCTCCGAGCATCAACCATGTTTTCTCCACTATTCACATACAATCCTCTTAGTTACAGACACCAGTAAACGCCTCCAGGGGCGCTCAGTGATTCGCAAACAAAATATGATGTAGCTACATGGTGGAATATTACTCAGTCTTAAAAAGAAATGAAGTATCAATACAAGCTTGAAAGCATCAAAAATATTGTTTTAAGTACAAGAAGCCAAACACAAGCTATATGATTCCATTCATATAAAACGTAGAAAAGACAGAAAGCAGACTAGTGGTGGCTTAGAGCTGAATGAGATGGGGAAACAGGGAGATAATTGCCGAAAGGTACAAGGTCTCTGTCAATTTGCTCTTCGTTTTTCTTTAACCTGGATAATTCCTTTCCTTTCCTTTCCCGGGGCAGGAGGGCTCAGTAAACTTTAAAAGAACCTTTACCAGAGGGCGGCGCCTGTGGCTCAAAGGAGTAGGGCGCCGGCCCCATATACCGGAGGTGGAGGGTTCAATCCCGGCCGCGGCCAAAAACAAAAAAACCTTCGCCACATTCGCGTGGCGTTTATAGACTGCAGCGGAAGGATCCCCGGTTCTCCCTCCTACAGCACAACAACGGATCCTCACAGTCCGCCGCCGAGTCAAGAATGTCACCCCGGTCCCGCAGCAAACGCCGGCAGAGCCCGAGGACGGACGGGGGTCGCGGACCCTGGGAGGCTGCGCCCACCGCTCGCCTGGCCCTCGGCACGGGACCCACGCGGCGGACCGACACCCAGCCCGCGGCGACCCAACCGGCGCGTCCCGCCCGCACGGCCCCGACCTTACCTTCCCCCCGGTTCCTGCAGCTGGAACCTGCAGAGGGGCCGCCTCCTGGGCAGGAGGCGCAGGGCCGGGCGCGCCGACCCCCTTGGGCCTCACGGCAGCCTGGTGCACGCGGGCCCGCAAACCCCTGACCTTCCCCATCTTGCGGAGCAGAGACCCGCGGCGGCCCCGGAGGCGCGGCGCATGCGCAGAGAGCCTTCCGGCCGCCGGGCGGAAACAGGAGCTGCGCTTCCCGGATCCGAGTTCCGCCCGGAAGTGCCCGGGTGCCGCAGGACGAGCACGGTCTTCCTTTCTTTCTTTCTTTTTTTTTTTTTTTTTTTTTGAGACAGAGCCTCAAGCTGTCCCCCTGGGTAGAGTGCCACAGCATCACAGCTCACAGCAACCTCCAACTCCTGGGCTCAAACGAGTCTCCTGCCTCAGCCTCCCAAGTAGCTGGGACCACAGGCGTCCGCCACAACGCCTGGCCATTTTTTGGTTGCAGCCATCCTTGTTTTGGCAGGCCCGGGCTGGGGATTCGTACCCGCCACCTTAGGTGTATGTGGCTGGCGCCTTAGCCGCTTGAGCCACAGGCGCCGAGCCGACGGGCACGGTCTTTAGAAGCGAGTGCGCAGTGACCGGGCGACGGTCCACACGGCGCTGGGCCGGGGCCGCGCGCGGATGTGTTTGATGCAGACGTTTGCCCTGCGAGAGGAGGCAGCTCGGAAGACTGGACGCCGGAGCAGGCTGTGAGAAGTGGGCGTGAGCGGGGCGGAGACCTATGTGACCTGTCAGCGTGGGACCCAGAGGCTGAAGCCTACGTACGATGCGGGGCGGCAGCCAGCGACCTCCGCACGGATGACTCTTTAAACCTGTAGACCGTGAACCCGGAAAACCGGTTGACTCTTTCCTGTGTCCTAGAAACCAGTTCGTTCACGCTTAGTCCTGCGCCCAGCGAACCGCTTCACTGACTAGCGGCTGACGTTGAATAAGGTTGAAAAAGATGTTCTTAGATAACTGTAAATAAAATGAGTAAGCGTCATGAAAGTGGCAAGGATTTACTGCAGAATTCAAACGCTTTCCTGTTCAAGAATGTTCTCCTAGAATGTGAGAGAATGACTTGTGAGCTTTCTGGTAGCAGCGACGAACTGGTCGAAGTCGAAACCAGCAGTGATGGCTCAGATGACAAGGAAAGAGATGATACCGCTGCCCCCGTGTTGGACAGAACACGTGCAAACTCAGGTGACAGCGGTGTTACCTGGACAAAATCAATTACCGGTCCGAAAGACACTACATTTTGGTCTCCAAATACACCAGGGCCACTGAATTTGGGCAGCAGTTTCACAGCTGAAACTGATGGAAAACCATATTTCAAGCTGTTCATTGACAGAAATATGTGGGTTTGTATGAGAAACGTGAGGAATTGAGAGCCAGTCATCAAAAGGACTTTTATGCAGCCCACTGGCATACGACCTAACTACTGAGAAGCTAAAAGCCCTTGTTGGTTGTTGGCTTTTAATAGAATGAATATGCTGTTATCAAAAGACATATTGAACATAACTTCCCAGCAAAAAGTGGTTTCTTCTTTGAGACACCTGGATACTGAATTGTATTTACACTTGATGGGTTCCTTGTGATTTGGAATTTTTTTTTTTTTGAGATAGAGTCTCAAGCTGTCTCCTTGGGCCATGGCATCACAGCTGACAGCAACCTCAAACTCTTGGGCTTACATGATTATCTTGCCTCAGCCTCCCAAGTAGCTGAGACTGTAGGCACCCACCACAATGCCCAGCTATTTTTTTGGTTGTAGTTGTAGTTTTTGGTTGTTGGCAGGCCAAAGCTGGATTTGAACCCTTCAGCTCCAGTATATGTGGCTAGTACCCTAGGTGCTGAGCTACAGGCACCAAGCCTGATTTGGAAATTTTTGCGTATTTCTGATGAGGAACTTGATGAATCTGACAAAACAAACAAGTTGTATAAAGTGAGACCACTTCTAGATTTTTATTGTAACCAAGTTTCAACATTATTACAACATGCAACATGATCTTTCCCTCAATGAAGGCATGATTCTTGCAAAAAATTGTCAGTAAAGCAGTGTATGCAGTCCAAGCCAATAAAACAAGGATTCGATGCATTTCTGTTATGTGAAAGTGCTACAGGACATATTTACAATGTGAAGAGTACAGTACGTGGGGGGAAAGGATGGTTTAGACACCTAAATTAGAAGTGTTGTTGCACAACCCACATATTGTTGAAAGTCAAGGTCACAAGCTATTCATGGACCAGTTCTACAATTCACCTGCATTGTTGTATTTACTTGCTCATGATATTTACTCATGTGGAATAATTAGGGCCAACAAGAAAGGAGTTCTCTGAGCAACTAACAAAGAAGAATGATAGGCAACAAGGCCAACATGAGTATCTGTGTAGCAAAGCCGTGTCTGTTGTCGTGTGGTGTGACAGATCACCTATTTCATTTCTACTTTCCATGATAGAATTACAGTGTCTGTAACCAGAAAAGTCAAGTCAGGTGAAGCTGTTCCTGTTTTGTGCCTGCAGATTGTCAAAGACTGCACAACCACCATGGGAGGTTGTGACTGAAAAGACCAGATGATGAAGCTACATCAAACCAAGAGACATTACTGCTGGCCCCTGCACCTTATGATGAAAGGTGTGATATGTAGCTACAGTGCCCTATAGAAGACAATATATGAAAATAGGGCACCTGCAGGCCACAGAACGAGGATGGTCTACAACTTTTTTTTTTTAAGACGGAGTCTCACTGTGTCACCCTTTGTAGAGTACCATGGTGTCACAACTCACAGGAACCTCAAACTCTTGGGCTTAAGCGATTCTCTTGCCTCAGCCTCCCAAGTAGCTGGGACTATAGCTACCTGCCACAACACCTGGCTATTTTTTTGTTGCAGTTATTTAGCTGGCCAGTGTCGGGTTCGAACCCGCCACCCTCGGTGTATGTGACTGGCACTGTAACCACTGTGCTACAGGCACCAAGCCTTTATAACTTTTCTTGATGAACTGTGTCTGACACTTATTGGCAATTTCAGAATGTCAGTCATGCAAGTAATCAGGTTCCAGAAGCCCACTTAACAAAATGTGGGACTTCATCATGTGGCTCAGCCTTCTGAGGCAGCAACCAACCAGAATTGTACTGTGTCAACAGAAGGCGAATAAGTACTTAGCAGCACATCATGGTACAGCAACCAAGGACATTCCTTACAAGAAGACAAAAACTGTTTTCTAATATATATCATACAAGGTTTATCTTTGCATAAAACAGCACTTGTTGGCAGGACTATCACAAAAGTACAGTTTTGGTAATACAGTGCAAATAATTTTACTTTCTCCTGTATAAATGTATGATGTAATGCTTGCGTAATCAATGAGACATCTTTGTTAAAATTCTAAGTGTGGGCTCGGCGCCTATAGCTCAACCGGCTAAGGCGCCAGCCACATACACCTAAGGTGGCGGGTTCGAATCCCCAGCCCGGACCCGCCAAACAACAATGATGGCTGCAACCAAAAAATAGCCGGGCGTTGTGGCGGGCGCCTGTGGTCCCAGCTACTTGGGAGGCGGAGGCAGGAGACTCGCTTGAGCCCGGGAGTTGGAGGTTGCTGTGATGAGCTGTAATGCCACGGCACTCTACCCAGGGGGACAGCTTGAGGCTCTGTCTCAAAAAAAAAAAAAAAAAAAAAAAAAAAAAAAAAATTCTAAGTGTGAAAATTGCTGGGGAATTTGGAGATGGAGTTAAGTTGGTATGAGATGGCAGGATCCATAGGATAGACAAAGGAGACAGGGAGGGACTGATGCAAAGTCGTTTGTCAGAAATTTCCATTGGTTTATAGAAATGTCATTGAGTAGCTATTGGCTGTACAGTTTTGAGTCATAGGGCTGATGTTGGGTCATTTCATAGCTACTGTGGCAAGCAGTATCAGTAGATGGATACAACCTCAAAAGGGGGAAGTGGGTGCTCACACCGGTGGTCCCAACACTCTGAGAGCCAAGGATCGCTTGAGGGCAAGAGTTTGAAACCAGCCAGAGCAAGATAGTAAGACCCTGTCTCTACAAAAAAATCAAAGACTTAGCCAGGTGTGGTGGGACACACCTGTAGCTTGAGAGGAGTTCCAGGTTATAGTGAGCTATTTCCCATTTTTCCTTTTTGTCATACCAAGTGGGAGTCAGGTGAGGAGGCCCCTTCAGGTCTGTTGGGCTGTCCAGAGCCAGACTGCATGGGGCTGCTTTGACCCAGCATGGCCAGTGATGAAGGGATCCAGGGAATCACCGGGCCTGTGGGAGCAGCCTAACCCCTCAAGGAAAGCTGCTCAGGCATCCACATCAGAGAAATTGCAGATGGCCAAGGTCAAGGGGTATGGCAGGAGGGTGCCAGCCACTTGCAGAGTTCTGCAGGTGCAGGGGGTCTCCTAGAAAGGGTCTCCTCTGCACGCTCCTCACTCCTTTCTCCCGGCCCTGGAATGGTGTATGCCAGCTCCAGATTAGGAAGGGGCTTTACTAAGAAGCCTTGGCAGCTGCCTCTGACCACATTTCTGTTTTGAGATCACTAACTTGAAAGAGGGCCCTTCCCCTGCACCAAGAACCTGCAGATGGGTGGATATTCATAGTTCCCTTTGGGCCCATAGGAGGATCGAGAATTGACTCCACCCCTACCCCCAGTTTCAGGCCCTTCCCACATCCCAGGCCTGGCCTCCTGGCCTCCTGGATTGCCTTGTCCCAAGGACACCAGGGTCTCTGCCGGTGGCAGCTTTAAAGGAGGAAGGAGTTCTCTGGTCCTTTGGGCATCCTTGGGGCTGGAGCTGTGGACTGGGCCAGGGGAGAGCCAGTGTGACTCCCAGGGTAGCGGAAACACTCTCTGCAAAGACAAACTCCCACTCAGAGCCAAGGGTCTCCAGTCAGAACACTCCAAGATGTTGTCTTGTTCTTGGCATAGACTGGGACAGGTGCACAGGTACCAGCATAGCTGAGCAGCTTGCCCCTGAGAGAGGCCAGGCTTTCTCCATGAACTCTGGGCACCTGGTGAGGGGCTGGTTGGTTCTGCTCCTGCTATTCTCCCACCTGGTAGATCCCTCCCACTTGAATCCTCACACTCAGTTTTCAGAACATTCTCCTTTCTCAGAGAAGCCTGTCCAGGTATCACTGCCTCCAGGAAGCCACCTCAGATTTCCCCAGTTGAGTCGTGA